GCGGTTGGCCGCTGGCCCGTGGTGCCCGGCGGCCTCGTGGCGCAGCTCGCGCTCGGTGGCGTTGCGGATGTGCCGCTTCTCGGAGCAGCTGCGGTCGCCGTCGCCGCTGAAGTACCAGGTCTTGTAGAGCAGGTCGTGGTGGTCGGCCAGCGGCCCCGAGACGCGGCAGGTCAGCGTGACGTTCTGGCCCTCGGGGCACACGCAGAGCGCGTAGGGCGCCGTGACCAGCAGCGCAGATGCCCTGCCTGCAGGGAGAGGGCGAGCGACAATGCAGGGGCTGCCGCGACGCCCGGGGTGCGATGCACGGGCACGGCGTGCAGACCCCGCCGCCGCGTGCATGGCGTGCCGGGCACACACGCGCAGGCTCCCCATGCCCATTTCTCCCAGTGCCGTCCCCGGCGTGGCCACTGCTGCAGTTCCTCATCCCACCCCAAGGATGCTGGCAGAAAGACGAGAACTCATAAAGGCGAGAGGAGGAGCGAGCTCCCACCCTGCCCGTGCATGATGCGCTTGTTTTTCCGCCGTCCCGGAGGCGAAGGGGGAGCTCTGTGTCTGTCATGAAGCCGCCCTGGGCCGGGCTAGCCGTGCTTGCGGAAACGCTCTGGGTGCAGAGAGTGCTCCGGGCGCCCAAGACCCCAATATAGGAGGGTTGCAGGGCATCCCTCCGTGCGCAACCAAAGGAGCAACCCCCAGGCGGTTTTTCCAAAGCCACTGAACAAAAAGGAGGCTCCCAGGCTGGGGCGCCGTGGAGGAGCTGGTGTTATTAGGACAAGATGTTCTCATATTTTGGTAACATCCTGTTGTTCCCGCAGCACCCGCCTGGCCCGGATCTGAGGTTTTTCACTTGCTATATCGAGGCGGTGTCGATCAAAGGTGGCAGTGCAGGGGGAGGGCATCCCGTCGGCGGCCACCCGTGCTCCCCAACCCACAACCCGTGCTGGCCGGAGCCATGGGGACGGCGACTGCAAGGAATGTGCCCCCGGACAGGGTCCCGCGGGAGGCGGCGAGGGGAAGCGGGGGCTCTACAGGAGGAAGCCGCGCTGCCCGCACCTTGCGAGCGGCCATCAATGAGGGGAGAAAATCCCTCGGGGGAGGCAGCACGGCGGCTCAGCGCTGCGATGCTCGGCCCTGTGGCACCCCGCATCCCCGCCAGCATCCTTCACCAGGCCCCAAGTTTCTTCCCAATTTGACCAGGCAATCGGAAAAAAACAGCACCTCTCCCATCCAGATCGGAAGCCAGAAGGGGATCCTAGACCCTCCCTGAACACCCACTCGCTCCCCTGGTAAATTTGGCACGGATCTATGCAGCCCCTTTCCTGCTGGGAGCATCCCCCCACCCCAGGGAGGGGTTGTTCTTGCCCCTGCTGCTCCCGCTTTGCTCTGCCCGAAGGGACTTTCAGAAAGATTCAGGGTGCAAGTGGCTCTGGGTTTAGGAACTGTCCCAAGGAGATTAAAGCACCTGCAGGAGCAAAAAAAAGCCACCTGGAATTTGGCAGGAATGAGAGCAGCGGGTCACGGTTTAAGCGGCACAGCTCAGGGGAGGTTTTGTTGTTGTTTTAGTCGGGATCACTTTGGGGAAGTGGGGCTGGATGCACCAAATGCTTCGCACCCGCCGGGGGCAACGGGCCAGGGGAATACACTCCCAAACAGCCTCTTTCTCCCACCCGGCACACCCGGGTCTCCCGTCAGCACAGCCCCCCCTCCGGCAGCCATCAGGAGCAGGAAAAACACTTGCAAGAGAGGAGAGTTTGCAAAGAGGGCGGAAAGCTCCGCAAACACTGTCACCGCCAGCGCCTTGGTCCTGTCCCCCCTCATCCCCTCCCCAAACCC